TTTATGGAAAGATTAAGAAAAATGGAACTTAGAAACTGAGTGAACTGAGAAAAAGTACAAAGATTTCGGATAGTCTGGCGAAGTGTTTTCATTGCTGTATGTTAAAGGAAAAAATGTTCAATAACAAAAATCAAGTACAGTCGTAATTTTAAAGCCTGTCCCATCAAGTAGAGTAAGTAGATCATGAACTTCGACTCTCAACAGTAAAAGATTTTATGGCATAGATTTCCATTGTATTTCTTCTTATTGTGAATCAATCCGTGGCATAATTTCCTCTCACGGGGAAAGGAGATGTGGTCATACAGGAACCTAATAACAGCATTAGCTTTCACTGCCTGATGCGCTTGATAAATTTAACTTAGATTTTCCATACAGAGTTATTTGAAATATGCAATGGAAAGATTTGAGACGCTATTTGCGGAACCTAACATCTATGATTTTCCGGAGTCTCCAGGACTTGCTCCAACAGCAATTTTTCATAGAACAGGATTGTCTGCAAGCTTACGCTCATCAGTCTCAACTAGTAGATTGCTCTGCTTATATTTTATGCTCTTCTGGACAGCCATTAATGGCTGTCTATTTGGATGAGTATTCGACACTAATACATTTTCAAATGCATAATCCAAAAATACTGAAGAGCCATGCAGCTTTCATTATTCGGAAGTCTAATGAGTTAATAGTGATTTGATTAGCATTTGTTAAAAAAAGGGGGCAGTCATGCTAACAGTGAATAAAGTGACTTGAAGAAATACAAATGACTCTGAAATATTAAATCCATAGATTTCTGACCTCTATTGTATGGGAACAAAAGCATGGAACGTTTTCAGGATGGTAGAAATAACTGGAAACTATAAAGTTGAGAATTACAAAGAACTAATGGAAAATTTGCTCTTGTATTATGAAAAAAAAAGGCTTGCAACATGTTATTAAAATAGTTGGTGTATTTGGCATTCATTTTTTTTCTCAGTGATAATTACGGCTGTTATGATATTCCTTGCATGGAAAGATACTACCTAGGAAGGTCAAACGCACCAGTGTTAAAAGGCCACAGCTGGAATCTCATATAAGAAATATCTATAGCTTTATAAGCAAAGAAATAAAAGAAAACGTAGTACATGCAAGTTATGTGAAGGTTACTGTGTGCTTGTATTTTGGTTTGCACTTTTCATGGCAGCCAAGAAAAACAATAACAGTTCATGTGTTGCCTTTATCGCATAATAGATAATTGTACTACATTTCTTTAAAAGTAAAATTATCTAGTAACCTTATGTAATGTTTTCATTGTTATTTCCAAACTCACCGTGTCAAAATTCTTAAAAGAATGGCCAATATCGTTTCTGTAGACAATGGCAGATTTATGAAACTGAGGAGGACTCACTATTTTAAAAAACAGGGTATGTTTACTGTTCTTTCTTTAAAATTAATAAATGGTTTAGGGTCCTCTTGGAATGTGGGGCTCCTTGCTTTTGCGATGCAATCCCATAAATTAGCCTGTCAGTGCGAAACAAAATGTTTAGATTTGTAGTTCGGTGTACTCAGTTAAATGTATGACACTGCGGAATCCCGTTAGAACTGAGTTTAGCATCCCATCGACTATTCGCCTCTAAATTGCAGCAATTTGTGTGTTTACTGTCTTGACTTTTAAAAAGTGAAACTACACTATGGGTATCGCCACTTCTGTTAAAATGAGCTGGTCAGATTATAATTATCTATTTTTGGTTTATTACGGAAATATACCTGAAAAAGGATCGCTTTCTCGAAACCGGGCAATGCCAAAAATACAGAAGACAATAACTACAATCCCGAATTCGGATAGGTTAACAAAGAGCACAAATCAGTGGAAGAACCTCAGAATGTTAAATGTGGAATAAATAAGGAAAAAACTCGTTCTAGAGACCAATGCCTTCACCACATCATAGAGGAACCTACCAGCAACCGAACGGGTAAAATGGTTGAATGCCTGAGCTGTGCAAAGTGAATGCAAACCATACCCAGCGCTGAGCGGTAAGACTTCTAATAATTCGACCCGTATTTAAGTCTCGGTGAAACAGTTTGTCGCATGGGAGTTTTCAGGATTTTCAAATATTAGTTCTTATTCGAATAAGAACCAATTTCTATTTGAAAATCTTTTTAAAGATAGCCATGCTATAACGAGCTTATGTGCTTTGCCCTATCCATACAATCTAATCCCTTGGAAAGCATCCTTCCTCTTAAGCAAACAGTCGCTGTATGCTTTGCTGTTATCTAATAAATCCAACCCCAAAATTCTCACTTAAGAAAGTTGGAAATCTGAAATGAAAATTGAGCCAAATGTTGCTTAAACTGTAATAATAGATGCTAAGTTAGATAAATTGTTTAAGGTAAAGCACACAAAGGCTATCTGCTTAAGAGAGGAGATGACTTCATGGAGGACTTTTGGCTCGTATTCACCTTACACATGAAGAAAAACAAAAAATTCCCATGTAGCTAGACCGTTCTCGGGAATTTATACACGAGTCTAACTGCCAGTGTTCAACGATCTTATTTCTCGGCCGCAGGCGGGCCATAATAATTGAGACAGTTTCTTTAATTACTGCGGGATATCCTTATGTGATAATCAGCAATATTTTATATGCAATAATAAATTCATTCTACTGATTTACTGATCCTTAATTTCTATGAATAAATGTGCTGTGTCACATAAATTCAGTAACTAAGTTATTTACTTCTCGATTTTTAGTGTTCGAAGGTTAAATGAAAACAACGTGTTTACCAACAACCGCCAGAATTTTCAGGCCTAAATGGCTAAACCTCTCAAAATGAATGTAACAAGGAACAAAATCGAAAACAATTCGACAAGGAAGTATGTCAAGCCTAAATAAAAATGTTTCTGTAACGAATTCTCTTAACTTTTCCTCGTTTACAAACGAGGCTTTTAACACGCAGTTGAAAAAGAAAAAAGTTCATATTTTCTAAACCGATTAAAAAAAAAAGGTAAGAAATAAATTGCAAACTAAATTACATTGTGACGCAAAGCCATTGGAAAACGTAACGGTTAGACAATACGATACCAAGAAGTTAGCTCTCTTAGGATGATATTATTATACTGTGACGGTAGGAGGATCATAAATATCACTGACCAAACACAATAACAAAATCAAAAGGTGCACTTATCAAATGGAATATTAATTTTCGTGTTACTTTACGAAGGGTAATAGGTCTTAATGACCTTGTGATGGTCTTTCATAACAGAAAATTAAACGAAGAAGGAAAAGAATACCAAAGGGGAATATGTAAATCTTATTCCTACACGGCTCTTGAACACGCCGAAGCTCCAAGTAACCCGCCTTTATTGATTAACATTTACATCTACAAATCTTTTGAAGCGTTAACCTGAATGATAATTATACATTGCAACACCGAATAGCCAACTTTTTAAGTTCTGTTTCATACAATCCGCTTTCGCAATGAAATGGTGCACAACAATTTTTGCGTTAAAAGGAACACTGCACTTGGAATGGCTGTAACAGTTGGCTATAAAATTCCAAGAGCGGCGAAAAATGAAAAATTAATCACTCAGTACTTTTGCGTGTCTAGTACTTTCAATTACGTCACAAACGGGATTTTTTACTAAAATGACACGCACCAAAACGTGACACATTATTAGCTTACGTTTTTAAGAAAATTTGTCGACAGTAAAACCTGCTCTGACAATAATATTTTTATCTATTCATCCCAAGAAATCATTCTGAGCATCGAACAACAGGATTTGAATTATTTCTGTATATAAGTAAGGTCATTCACACTTCTGTACTCATATAAAGCAACGACTGATGCCACATAGAGAGAGCTAGTTGATGTTCTAGCATTCAGGTTTACAGTTTCAGATCATTAGTTGGATAATGCTAGTAAAGTCTATTTTCAGATGCCAGGCATTTGTGACTAGTCTTAAAAAAGATTACGGAGGATGGATAGCAAAAATAACTTTCATCTTGTGTGTGAATTTTTTTTAATTACCTATATTTCAGGAGAGCATAAGTTTGGATATTTTAACTATGACCATATAATAATTATACTTTGAGCATAAAATAATGTATAAAATTTATGTAAACAGAGAAACATCCTTGAAAACAACTTGGAAGTTCCAATTTTTTTAATTTTTTTTTTTAAATTTAAGTAAAGCCTTTTCTAAAATAATAATAATAATAAAAAAAAAACAATAGTTCTTCAGGGATAAAGCCTCTTTGGACTAAAAATCTGAAAGCTTTCAGATTTTAAATTACGTCCAAAGGGGCGTTTTTTAAAATTTTTTTTTAACGTTTTGTGTGTTAACTTTATTTATTAAATATCATGTTCTTGGCACTTGAACCATAAATTTCAGTTCAACAGCAATGTCGCAAAATAATTTTAAAATGGGCCTATCATTAGAATTTCCGATACATAATTCCACGCCCTGGAGATAAAAAGGTTTCCCCCTTTCGTAGAGTGTTGCCATTGCTCGCTTTTAAATCGTTGAGTTTGTTGATAAAAGATTCGTTAAAGTTTTACAAAATATGAAATTGATCATAAAACAAATTCCAAATTTGGGCTTTCAGATGCCCATATTCGCAGTAGGATTACGTCATTCAAAATTGGATGGCTCTAGGTACCGTTGTTTTATCACAATGGGAGAAACAAACGTATATCTATGCAGTTTCTTCAAATATAATACAGGGAGATAGTATTTGGTGCCAACGATTTGAAAAGTGATACACCGTTTATAGGGTTCCGACGCAAAATCGCAAAGCGAAAACAGTAGTCCTTCAGGGACAAAGCCCCTTTGGACTAAAAACTTATACTGTAAATTTTAAACGGGTTGTCTTTCATTCAAAACTGACAAGTAACAGTATCAATTTGAAACTTCTAATTTTCATCGATTGAGTTTATAGTACGACCTCGAGCGTCATGTTAACGTCATTCTTAATTTTAGCACCCCATGAATTGGGAAAGGAAAAAATAACTCGTTAAAGAAAACCACATACCTCTTTCAGAGCTATCCGCTGATCCTCTTGCTGCTTGTAATCGAAGGTGCCGTTCATTAGGCCTAGTTCGATGCTGCTGTAAGAGAAAAATAAAAAAACTAAGTAAAGTACAAAAATATCTAAATTTATGTCTATTCGTAGTTACATTCCATGCATTTCCTGCTCTAGTCTTCCATTCTTTATTTTTGTCTCTGTATTTATTCTCTAAGTTTAATTTGATTTTAAAAACTGTACAATAAAATTTTAAGTAAATCAATTAATTAAAAATGCTTCAAAAGACAAAAATGGCGAACGAAGGTAATTTATAACGGATAAAAGAACCAAATAGGTAGGAACTGGTAAGCAATAAATATAAATTAATATGATTAACTACTTGCATAGAATAAAACTCCGTTTAATTGAAGTTCGGCTTACTCAGAACGATGGAGAGACTGCCAAAGTAGACAGCTTGGAAAATAGTCATCTGCAATTTTTAAATATCAGCTTCTTTTCATGTTTTATTATTTAGAGATAAACACAACTTCTACAGTTTAAAGAAATTATAAGGTACTTAGGATTACGGTAGTTGTTCGGGTATTCTGGTTGGAATTGCCGGGTAAAATCGGAAAACACACAACGGCGTCTGAGAAGAAATTATAAGGTTCCTATAACCAGCAATCCTTTCGGCAATCCATGATAGAAACGCCATTTTCTTCTTCCTTTTTGTGTGCCTTCGTGGTGTAACGGTAAGCATACCCGGTGCGTATTCAGAGGTCCAGGTTCGAGCCCCGGCGAGGACATTGCTTATTCTTCAAGTCTCCCTGCTTAAAATAACTTAATGGCTCTATACAGTGAAATGAATTTCAACACAAGATAGTTGCGCGCAGAAGTAAGGAGTCATGAAATTTCTATCAACGAAATGACTTCTATGTTCATAAACAGATTATATTAAATGAAATTTGATTTACAGTGAAAAATGTCTCCAAAAATAAATTAACTCCAAAAAGTAGATGCCAAAGACTTCAATGAATTAAAAATAAGGTTATTTTAAGTGAAGTTTTGCATTATGTTAATAAATTGGTCTATCAATCTTTTACGGGTATTAACGAGGTTATAGTGGTGATTCTCACAGTTATCTTTGAATTTTAAAATCACGGTCTGAGTGTTCTTACCTAAGAACGTTTGGATCTGTATGTATTATCAGATCTTAAACCTTTATTCTATATTAGAGATCATAATCTGCAGCCGATAGCATAATCGCCAAAAAAATTCATGCTCGAAAAGCGGTGGTTGTGGCTAGTGAAATATGACGTTGCTCCGTATTTGCCCTCTTTCAAAAATATGATGAACTGCATTAAAAGATTTTGAAAAAGTTCTGCTTTGATGATACATCGAAGAAATGAATTTCAGCATATCAGGGATTTCAGAATCAACATTCAGGGATAAGAGACAACATTGCTCTGGGAGAGCAACATAATTTCATGATAGATATAATAGCTCTTAATATTTCTTCTTTAAATTAGTTTTATAATCATCCAAATTGAACCAGACTACTTTCTTAATAAAGCTAATAAATTCAAAAGTGATAAGTCAGTTTTATTAACATTAATACTACTAATTGTTCGCACAGATTATTAACCCTTTGCACTCGAATCCTTTCTCGCTCTGGCGAATCAGCAACTCCAGACGATTTTCCGCATATTTGGTGAATTTCTTGCAACTAACTTAAAATGATTTCACAGAAATCTAATGGTTCTTTTATGTCTGAAGATACTTGCAGTCCTGCAGCTTTTTCGACGGATATAACCGGTATTCTTCGCCGGTATTTTGTGCAATTTATCCTTTCTGAATTTTGCAGAATCACTATCGCTTTCCCATTCACTATCTATTACCCTGTTATTTCACCTTCTTCACCTCTTACTTCATTGCTATTTTCATCACTGCTTTCCTCCTCTCTATCGTCAAGTAGTCTATGATAAACGTAATTTCGTTCTTCGTCAACGAAGAATCGAACTCATCTTCATTGGAACTGATTCCATCATCGTATTTCATGCTTATTGGGCCCCCTAACTTTGAAAATATTATTCTTATCACAATGATTGTCGAGTTCGAATTAACGTCGAAGACATATATATAACCATAAATCTAAAAAACGTATTTAAGATTAAAGATTAGCACTTGTTTTATGCGCATGTATCGCTGAATTCTCTCATGAAACGATATTTCCCAAACCAAACTTAAATAAATATCGTTACTATTTGAATTATTCGTTTAAGCCAACTGGTGATCGAGATTCCCCCCTCGAATTACCGCATCAAAATCAAGTGGTGACCAAGAGTCACCTGTCGAGTGTAGAAGGTTAATATTTTATGAAAGGTTAATAATTTAGTTACATTTTATATGAGATTCGCTGTATTTAACTAACTGCACACAACACCCCTCATATTGGGGGAAATTACTTTCAGTTAGTAGCAATTTTCCCTAATATGATAATTTTCTGTTAGTAGTAGTACTCTGAATTGCTGCGAAATCTGCGCTTGCAGTATTCATCGCATTTCGTCAAGACGCAGTGTTATGGTTGACAGATAGCGCGTAAGTCATCTTCAAGGGCACCAATCAGTTTTTCTGTTAGGTTTCGTTACTTTTCGTTTCAAAAAGGCTAATTCATACAAGTATGGTATTGAAAATAAAAAAACACAACGTGTAAATCCAAAGATCAAGAAATTTTGTTTTCGTAATAGAATATTGTTGAATATTCTAATAATAAAATTTTCCCCCGTCCGATCAGCGGTATTTTGTAAGCCTAATGCAAAGCTACCACAGAATACCTGTCTAAAATGAGTATTGGCTCTGTAGGGCACTTTCTAAGGAAAACCGATTTGTATTTATTTTACGCATGTTCTCTGAGTTAATTTACAATTTACCTAAAGACTGTAATTTTTTCACCTGAATGTCTTCCTGTCCTTCATTACATGAACTGAAAACTGCCTAGGATTGCACACAATAAACCAATAAATAAAACATCTCTCTATTTCAAGATTTTGAAAATAAATCAATTAAATTTACTGTATTTTTAGATATGAATCATGAAATTGAATCTGATAGATTTTAGGAAAAGCAACTAAAATACTTTGGTTTTATAAAGATGAGGGAATATCTTTATATTATGATTTTTTTTTTTTTCTATTTATTTAGTTTTAGTATGAAAATCGATTCTTCGAATTCATCTTGGTTTCACAAGATTCAGATAATCAATGCTGCACTTAGTATTCTTATATAAAGCGAAAATTGATTATTCCTTCGCATTCTATGCTCCATCAGAGAATGCCAAAAATAGAATAAAAAATCTGTTAAAGAAAAATATAGAAGGTTAACCCAGACACTATGACATGTCATGAAACTCCAGTTTAGGCAGAAAAGGTTGATGCACTTTAGTAACCTTCACTATTATTATGCACATCTAATGTGTCTTGTTCCGCCTTTTCCAGTTATTTGCCGACAGGTAGGAAGAAGAGAGTTTGAATAACGAGCTTCTCAGTGTTGTTGGCTTTGAGGTTAATATTCGTACTTTACCTTATTTTACTGACGTTGTTTACTTTTGGTCTTTATTACGTCGTAGATCTGTTATGCATTTCCATAGCTCTTCTTTCCCCTTTACAACAAAACTTTAAATATCCGCAACTGAAAATTCTATATTTACCAGATGTCTGGGGAATGACCCGGACTGTACTGGATTTGTACGTAATTACATCCGGGGTTGTATACTGGATTGAAAAAGTGGCTGGGTTTTTAAATGAGTAACTGTAAGAGTTAAAGAAATTAATTATTTATAGAGGAAGGAGCTGAATCCTATGAAACCTCAGTAATGCTTTCACTGCAGTACTGGCATTTTTGGATAAGGTGATCAAAAACTATCTCACCTTATCCTTATGTTCATCACCTTATGTTTTTAAGATCTTGGGGAATAATTTCCTTAATATCATCTACGTTTACATCATAATATCATCTTAATATCATCTATTACAAAAAATAAATTAAATAAATAAAAAAATTCTGTTTCAAAATGTACGTAGTTTACTTTTAAACATTGCATTGCTATAAACTCTTACATTATTATCGTTTTCTTTCATTATTTTCCCTTTGTCATGAAAATAGCATAGTTGAATAACTTATAAGTCGCAAACTTTTTCAAAATTGGACTAAGTTTTTCTTAAAATGCCACAGATAATCTATTCCAAAATAAAGTTATTCTAGAAAAATCCAAATAATGCCTTCTTCTGTCAAATTTACATTTACTGCAATTCAAGTGAGGAAATTTGTTTCTTTAATTTTCTATTGTATGTTAACGAAAAACATTATTTCTGCAAGACAAAAATACGAAGCGCACTTTTTCGATAAAATTAAACAAGCAAATTATTTTTTATTACCCTAAAACTAATAATTAATTTCTGCTTCTACTGAAATAAGACAATGAAATGAATTCTCATTGACGCAGACTAAACATATTTATATTCTTTTTTACTTTATGTAAGTAAGCCAAAGAAGCTATTTCTGGGATTTGTTTGTATTAAAAAAAAAAAAAAAAAAATCTTAAAGTTTTCAGATTTTAAATTACGTATAAAGGGGCGTTTTTTTTTAACGGTTTGTGTGTTACATTTATTTATCAAATATCATGTTCTTTGCTCTTAAACCATAAAATTCAATTCAAAAGCAATATCGCAAAATAATTTTAAATGATATTCTTTAGAATTCCGAGACCGTTCCGCGGGCTGGGATAAAAGGTTTTTCCTTATCGCGTAGATTGTTGGCCATTGCGCCTTTTAAATGTGAGTTGTATAAAAATTCGTTAAAGTTTACAAAATATGAATCGATAATAAAGCAAATCCAATTCAATTGGCTTCGATTGCCATATCGCATAGGATCGTCTCGAAATTTGATGGTGTAGTATGTTTTTTATCGCAATGCGAGAAACATACATACATTTATGCAAATTCTTCATTATTTAATTACTTCAAATATAATAAATAATTGGTGGCAACAGTTTGAAAAGTGAAACGGACATTCAGAGTTATTCGATGCAAAATCGCAAAACGAAAA